CAACCTTCCAGCCACAGGCGCAGATCCTGAGCCACAGAGCCACCGCTCCGCCCCCATGGTGGGGCTGCTGTCAGCAGGGATGGTGAGGGGGTCCCCCGGCTCCCCTCCCCAGGCAGGAGGCTGCATCTGCTCGGGCGGTCTCAGCCCTCTGTGGAAACTCACGCTCTGTCTCTGTCGGTGTCTGCTTTTCAGCAGTCATGGTGGCTTGGGGAGATGCAGCGCAGGGTGAAAGAGAGCAAAGAGACGAAGTGTGTGAAGCCCAAGGCTCTTCTGGACAACTGCTTCAGGACCATGAAGTGCCTTTTCTCCTACTGCTTCGGTAAGCAGGCTGCAGGGAGGTGCTCAGCTCTGTGTGCTCCGGCTGGGGAGACAAGGGAATAAATAGAGCAAGGAAACTTCAGACTCAGGAAAAGCCCCCATGCTTTTCATATATTTTTTAAGACTGATGAAAACACAGGCTTGTTACTTTCCAGGACTTCTGTTTGTGTTCGTTCTGAGAGGTTCCAGGAGACAAGCGAAGAAAGCAGGTTGTGGTTGTTTTTAGTGCAGCTGTGGGTTTAAAGGGAGAGAAAACCTCTCTGACCTGTTGGGTGAGACCAGACCAGGTTGTTGTGAACAGCGCTGGGGGGTGGGGTGGGCGCAGGTGTCTGGGTGTGCCCCTACACTGGCAGGTTGAAGCGGGCCGGCCCAGGCCACGTGCACAGGAGGGCTGCTGTAGACACCAGGCACCAGCAGGCCCCAGCAAGTCTGCTCACACGCAGGGCACCGGGATCAGCTTCTGAAGAAAGCCTGACAGCAGGGGGCTGTCCCTCGCTAACAAGAGTGAGGCAGCAGCAGATCGAGGGTTTGCATGCTCATGCAAAAACTCTGGTGCACAGCAGCTGCTGAGCAATGATTTGTTTTTCTTTTATTAGACTTCAAAACATTTCCCTGCAAGCCTTTTTCTAATGGCACCACAGCCCTGTGCAGCTTTCCTGGTGAGTCCAAAAAAAGCTTGATTTTTTTTTAAAAGGAGGAACCAGGCCAGTTACAGCTGCCCTGTTGAGTTTATTAACTCCTGCCAAAATGTTTATGTAATTATATGTTTCTGGGGAAAGTGTTTAATTATGATGTAGCGCAATGCACTTTATATTTTGCCAGAAACAGCAGTGCTACAGTCAGTATGAGTGTGGACTGGCTTTTTGTACATCAGCTTCATCTCTGTGAGGCAGATATCTGAGTGGATTTATCACACTGGATGTGACCATTGCTATAGATACATCTACACTGTAGGGAGAGCTAAAAAGATACAACATTTGGCAGAGCTGAACACATTTAAGACAAGAAATATTTAAATCTAAGAAGGCTGGCATTCTGTTTCAAACTTCATGTCAGGAGGCAGGCATGGTCTGTTGAGCAAACATACAGGTTTGATTTAAATATTGTAGTTGGTATAATATGCACTTATAATGACTTTTGCTATACTTTTCATAGTAATACTGTACTTTATGTTCTTGTTAACTAGGTGGAAACCACTTAAACTCCGGCTACTCCGGCAGTATCATATTAATGTTTTTGCACAGGAAGGGTCACTGGTTATTGAAATTCTGCAGTGATGAAATATCTTTTAAACCAATTACTGACATAACTGGTTAGAAATTGCTGCTTTCCCACAAATCAGGTAATGACTGCACTATTAGGTAGGGAGGTAGAGATTCCCCTCCTTAAAACACTTCTAAGTCCCTTTTAGATGTAAGAAAAAGGATGACAGAGACAGTGTCCAACAGGTGTTGAAGTCAGAACAATATGCCATTTTGCCTGCATATTATTTTACTTTAAAAAGTGTTCAAGCTGTCTTGTAGGAGTGACATGCTAGGTGCTACTAAACCCCTAATCTAGTTGCTAAATTCTGTCTATACAGGATGTTACCATTATTTGGGAGAAATATTTAAAAAAAGAAACGACCACAGTCATGTGTAGGTAAGCAAGGCGATGTGTGATTCTGTTTGAGTGGTCTGAGCAGAGCCCACTCTGTTAAATCCAGCTCTCCAGTGAGAGACTTTTCCTTTTATGTCCATGTACTGTCATAGCAAAGTAACTATTATTAGACAAATCATGTTTGGGACGTCTGAAGTTTCCGCTGGGCTGCCTCAAATAATTTCCTCTGTTGAACAATATGAATTGTTATACAGATTATTGCACTTTGGAGCTCTGCCAGGTAACACACTGTTTAATTAAGTGGAAGGAACCTGATGAATAACTCCATTCTACCACTGCCTTCAGAGATCAATTAACGTGGAGACGACACTTCTGTGTCTGACTAACCTGATTCTAAGACTAGTATTTTGAATAGAAGATGAGATAAAACGTTACATCACTGTTCATTTTGTAACTAAGTGACTTCTATATTGTATAGTGTAGCTTGTTCCAGCCTCCCACAGCTCTTTGTGTATAACAATGCCTCCTTATCCGAGTTTTGTGTGCACTTCCCCATAGTTTCCAGTTGTTTGCTCTGGTTGTGAGTGAGTCTGTTGGGTTAGGTTTGTCATAATTGTTCAGTGATCTGAGTTTAACGAAGAGTGCTCTTGCAGTACTGGAGAGATTGTGTTTTTTTTTACACCCGTGTTTATTCTGCAATCAGGACACTAAATGACAGTTCTTACCATGTTGGTTACTTTTGTAGGCCGGTATATTGCATCCTGGTGACATTTTCAAGTCAGGCTTGTACCAGTCAGTAGGTTGTATATTATGCTGGCAAGTTTGGGAAATAGGATGTGTGAGAATTTGGGATGGCTGTCCTGTAGAGGCTGTGAGGGGAATAATTGATACCATGCTGCTCACTGTATGGTGTCCTGCCCACAGATCCCTGCACCAGGGGCTTGAAAATAAAAAAATCAGGCGAAGGTCAACGTGGCAGTGACCACACAACATCAAGACCGTCCTGTTCATCTGTCTGTCCGACTCCCTGATCCCTGTGCTGAAGGGCGGAGCTCCAAACAAGCCTGAGAGATGATGTTTGGTGGGATTTTGTCGTTAATTGTTAACACTGAGTTAAAAGTGAAATGTCTATTTCCAGTTTGTTTTTGTGTGTGAGTACAGAACTCGTGCAAACCAGGTTAAGGTTTAATTCTGTTACATTAAAAAAAACAGCATTGCAAAAGTAGAGAGCTTGCTCAGCAAGAAATTGTACATATTCTGTCCTAAATAATGACAATGCAAAATAACTAACGTACATATGAATTGGTACAATGACAAAGCTGCTGTGTACAGGCAGACTGAAAAATGTAAAAGAGATTGTTGTCCAATGTGTGATCTGTAAACATATTTGCAGTGTTGTGTACAGTACATCTTGCTTATTTATATTTGTCTTAACGGTTTGTGTTTGTGTGCTGTAATCTGTGCCAAAAGAACCCTGTTTGAGCAATGCTTTAAGTGCCAAGTGTGCTTGTGTTGTGTGTAATGCTCGTTTCCATCTGATAAGTATTAATATTTTGGATTTTTGTCAGTAGTCGTGTTTGTTTTGTTGCGAAGCATGTCCTTCACTCTGCTCTGTGCTGTTGTGTCCCAGGGCTGTGACAGCACCTGTGTGCTCTTGTGCCCTGCGTGCCCCATCAAGACCACTTCGATTCGATTGGATGTGAGGGAGAGGGGAGGCAGGGACTGAGAGTGGAGGTGCCTCGAGTTTTGTCTGTTTTATATATCTGTATATAACCCAGAAACCCAGATGTATGTGTTCTTGTTATAAGAAGCACAGAAAAAACTACCATACAAACTGATGTACATACTGGATGTTTTGCTAAGGACGTGAATGCTTGTTTGGAAAATGTAAGCTGTATTTTAATAAAATAAAGGTGACTGTTATTTTTTTACCCATTAAAACTTGTTCTGTGCATGAACTTTTGGAGAGGAAGAGAAACAAATCTTTTGAGAAGTCAATAAAGTGCACATTCATCCACTACCTGAAAGTTGATTATTCCGGGCGAAAAACATTACATGGACAACCTAGAGACACCCATTAACACAGCCAGAAGTCTTAGCACCTGGAGGAAACCCCCACAGGGCTGTGAAGAACATGCAGACTCCATACAGACGGCTGTAGGTCTGAAATTGAAGCCAGCACCCAGGAGCTTTGAAGCAGCAATGCTAACTGCTACCCCACCACACTCCACAGCATAAAGTAATGGGGTGTAAAACTCCAGGAAAAGCATCCGTCTTTCTACTTTGTTTTAAAATGCTTCTGAGTCTTGCAGTTTTAAAATACATGACCTTTAGACAACAGAAGCCGTTGTCCAACATTACTATTTCACATTAAGTCAATAGCTTTGGATACCTTGGCGTCTTCCAACACTAATAAACTTTCCCCAAAGTGTGTGAATCCTGCGCACTGTTGTGGCACTGTTTCTGTTAGTGGATGTTTTGATATTTCATAACGTTAGACCCTTATATTATATATTCGTATTTATTATTTAACAATTGTTATGGGGGGGTAGGACAGTGTAGTGACTAAGAGTTTGGGACCGACAGATTGTGGGCTCGAGTCCCTGCAGACAGCTGCGGCAGCTTGAGCGAAGTACTGGACACCAGTAGCCCCAGTCCGCCCTGCTGTGTAAGTAAGTGAGGAGCAGCGGTGCTGTAGGGGGATCCCCGGGATGGACAGGTGTCCTTCAGCGGGGAGTCATGTGCTCAGGAGCAGCCTCAGCGTCTGGGGGCCGGCTGTGACAAGCGCGCCCCCTGCCGATCGTCTTGTCTCCGGAAAAGCACAGGCTCTGGCCCCGACAGCTTGCCGTAGTTCCCGCAGCTTGTTTTCATTCGTCTGCGGCTGGTCGTCCGATGTGGTGACAGGCAGCAGGTCGACAGGCCAGCGGCGAGGTGGGAACACGGTCTGCGCGTACCGGAGGGCTCCAGGGCTACTCGCCGCTCAAGCCATGACGTCTGGCGGCGGGATCCGCATCCCAAGCCGCCTGCCGCTGCTCCTGACGCACGAAGGCGTGCTGCTGCCGGGCTCCACGATGCGCGTCAGCGTGGACACGGCCAGGAACATGCAGCTGGTGAAGAGCCGGCTCCTGAAAGGCACCTCTCTGAAGAGCACCATCATCGGGGTCATCCCCAACACCCGGGACCCCGAGCACGACACGGACGAGCTGCCCAGCCTGCACAGGTACGCTGGCACTGGGCCCCGGGCTGCGGGCAGCTCCGCTGACAACTCCGGGAAGCCTGTTATGCAACACCGCTGTTGTTGATGTTTGATACAGTCAGTTCTGTTTTATAAAAATCATTTTAGCTGGCGTAAAACTGTTCCAGAGTATTTTTTCGGCTGTTTCAGGTTACATTTGTACTCTACTGGCTCAGCTGCTGCTCTGCGCCTTCATCGAAGGCTACCGGAGCAGATTTTTCTAGCTTCATCTACTGCTGGTATTTTAGCGGGGAAGACGTGTGTAAAGATATTAAAACGTTTTTTTTTTGTTCTTAGTTTGAAATGAGGGTGGTTTGTCGGTGCTGTGGTCAGTGGTGTTTCCAGAAGGCTCGCTGGTACTCGGGCGGACTTTGAACTTGACTCTGCAGCAGGTCCGCCAGCCCGTGGCGTGAGTTCTCTGCTGTCGTCTTTCTGCACGAAATCTAGACATTTTTGCAGCGCACGTCTGTGTGGTTGCTGTAGTTTGGCCTCTTTGAGTTTGTCACTAGGATACCAGATCGGATCGTATTCGAGTTGCGTGTTTGTTGTTGAAAAGCGAGCTCGTTATCCGTGTTGACCGTCAAGGTTGGTCTGCGCGCACACCTCTGTGGCCTGAGGCCGTGCTCTTCAGGACGGCTTTGGCGATGGTCAGAGAGGTGTAACGTTCTCTCTCTGAAATTTAACAATGCTAATCAAGCACCGGTATCAGCCCAGAATACACTGACCGGCTTTGTAGGTTCAATTGCTTTTAGTTTAGAAGGAAGTTTAAAACCCACCCCTTTCTCAGAGTGATGTGTAATAATCTTTCATCAAAACCCCTCTCTCTCTCCCTTATCTCACTCCCCCGTCTCCTCTCAAATCAAATCAATTCAAGGTGCTTTATTGGCATGACCGATGAGTACAATCAGTGTTTCCAAAGCAAATAAAAAATAAAATTAACATGAAACGAAACTAAAAATAAAATAAAATCTACAGACATATTACAGATATAACAAAGACATATCATAAAATATTTACATATACTGTAAACAGATGGAGCATTATTGGGAGACAGACTCACTGTGCCTCAAGCTGTGACAGGAGATCACATATTGGGCTGCCAATTCAACTGAGTTCCCTTCTCCCTTTCCCAGTAGGATTGGGACCCATTGTGATTCTGGCAGGTGTGGGAACTCTGGGATTAGATTTCTGAATTTAGGGAAGAAGTTTTCTCTAATCTTAGAATAAAACAGTGCAGTAGGAAGTGCACCTCTGTCTCTATTTCTTCCCGCTGACAGTGGGAGCACAGCCAGTCCTCTCTGGGCAGCCAGGTCTGCCTGTGTCGCCCAGTTTCTATGGCCAGGCTGTGGTCACTGAGCCTGTACTTGTCAGGGTCTGTTTCTGTTTGCTGTTTCTTATCTTGGTCAAATATTCGGCTAGTGTGTTTTGTCTGTTTAGGGTTCTGTAGCATTCCAGTTTATGTTGTGTTTGTGTGTGTGTGTCCCAGTGTGTGAGATATTGCTGTTTGATCTGTGCTGTGATGTGGTTGAGTCTGAGTTGTGGTGCTCTAGCAGTGCTGTCCTGAGGCTGGCTGGTGTCGGTGTGGCTCAGGCCAGTGAGCCTCAGGACCAGCTGGCTCAGGGGGCTCTGTTTTGGGCTCAGCAGGGCTTTGTGGTGGTAGGAATTTTGGTTGCTATTTTTTAGGTTTAGCCAATAGTTTAATACTCTCTTCTGTATGTTTATCAATAGTGGGTACTAGCCTAATTTGGCCCTGCACCCGTTGTTAGGTGTTTTTCCTCTGTACACGGAGGATGTTTCTACAGATCTCCACGTGCAGAGTTTCTGTGGGGTAGTTTGTCCCATTGAGTGTACTCCTGGTCTGTGAGGGGACCCCACACTTCACTGCCGTATAGGGCAATGGATTGGATTACACTTTAAACTATTTGGAGCCAGATTCTTGTTGGTGGGTTGATGTTGAAGAGCCTCCTTCTTATTGCGTAAAAAGCCCTGAGTGCCTTCTCCCTCAGTGCCTTCACTGCCAGGTAGGGCTGGGCGATAATTCGATAATGATAATTATCGCTATATAATTTTCCTCAATATAATTTTAACAAAAGTTCGATAAATGGTCGATAAACATGTTTATGCTTTGCGCGTGAGCACAAAATACTGCGCAGGTGCGCGTGCATGTTGCAGACTGGGCAGCTAACGTGCTGTTGTTTACCCACACGGTGGTGGCTGACAGGACTGTAGTTAGAGTGGAGAAATGAGCGACACTGAACCAAATGTAGTGCTGCCAATGACCAGCTCGAAGGACGATGACATCGTCGATAGAAAAGGCCATTCAACTTTGGTAATTTGGAAATATTTTGGCCATTTACGATCAGACGTAAAACAGAGCACTTTAAACTTTGCAGTCTGTCTGAGCCATCTTCTATGTGTTTTATCACACTGCAGTATTTAATTTTTCTATTAAGATATATTCATTTTGCAAATTTTACTCATGCATATTTTTACATAAAAAAGACTTGAATTCTCTTAGATTTGTTTAATGTGTCTGCTGTTTGGCAAGTGTTTGTTGTGTTCTTAAAATAAAGAGTTGTTTAATTTACCAATTAACTGTCTGTTTTTTTCAACTTTCACTCAGGAGAAAACATCTGCCTTTAAACTTGAAAGAAATAATGATTTGACATTTATCGTGATAATTATTGATATCGACTGATATGAACATTTTTATCGTAATAATGTTTTTGGCCATATCGCCCAGCCCTACTGTCAGGTCAAAACTCCCAGAAGAGCTGATGGTGAGACCAAGATATGTGTAGCTGGATGTGTGCTCCAATGTGTTGTTCTTGAGTGTGAATTAGTACCTGTTTCCCTGAGGTCTGGCTTTCTTCTGGAAAACCATAACTCTGATCTTGTCCAGATTGACTATCAGCACCCAGGTCTGACAGTACTGCTCCAGCAGTGCCAGGCTCTGCTGTTCTGGGTCCAGATTGACTGTCAGCGCCCAGGTCTGACAGTACTGCTCCAGCAGTGCCAGGCTCTGCTGCAGCCCCTGTTCTGGGTCCAGATGGGCTGTGAGTGCCCAGGTGTGACAGTACTGCTCCAGCAGTGCCAGGCTCTGCTGCAGCCCCTGTTCTATGGGCGACAGCAGGACCAGGTCATATGCGTAGAGCAGGAACTTGATTTCTGTGTTGTGTAGTGTGAGACCAGGAGGTGCAGACTGCTCCAACATTTCTGCTAATTCGTTGATATAGATATTGAACAGTGTTGGGCTCAGACTGCAGCCCTGTCTCACCCTTGGGTGAAGAATTAGGTCCTTTTGTTTCCTATTTTCACTGCACATTTGTTCTCTGAATACATTGATTTGATTATGTCATAGACTTTACTATCTCATTCACTATCACCCCTCTCTCACTCTCTCACTCTCTCACTCTCTCACTCTCTCACTCTCTCACTCTCTCACTCTCTCACTCTCTCACTCTCTCACTCTCCCCCCGCAGGATTGGCACAGCAGGCCTGGCGGTGCAGGTCGTGGGCAGTAACTGGCCGAAGCCTCACTACACCCTGCTGATCACGGGCCTGTGCCGGTTCCGCCTGGCCCAGCTGCTGAAGGAGCGCCCCTTCCTGGTGGCCGAGGTGGAGCAGCTGGACCAGCTGGAGGGGCTCTCCGGTGCCGCCGACGGGGAGCTGGGCGAGCTGTCCCAGCGCTTCTATCAGGCCGCGGTCCAGGTCGGTGCCGTCACGGGCGGTAACAATATGCCAGCAGCCATATAACCTGCAACTCCCAGCTGGCAGCCCGCTGGAGCCCTGCAGTGTGAGCCTGGTCAGTACCTGGATGGGAGACTCCTGAGAAAGCTAAGGCTGCTGCTGGAAGAGGTGTAAGTGGCCCAGTAGGGGGTGCTCACCCTGCAGTCTGTGTGGGTCCTAATGTCCCAGTATAGTGATGGGGACACTATACTATAAAGAGGCGCCGTCCTTCGGATGAGACAAAAAACTGAGGTCCTGACTCTCTGTGGCCATTAAAAATCCTAGGGTGCTTCTCAAAAAGAGTAGGGGTATTACCCTGGTGTCCTGGCCAAATTTCCCCCTGTACTTTACTAATCATGGCCTCCTAATAATCCCCATCTATGCACTTCATCACTCTGTTCTCCTCATACTGGTGCACTCTGGCTGCCATCCAGGTAGGGCTGCACATTGGTGGTGTTAGTGGGATTCCCCATTACCTGTAAAGGGCTTTAATTGGAGAGTCCAGAAAAGAGCTATATAAGTATAAGCAATTATTCTTAACAATCTGCAGCCCAGGGCTCATCACGCAGGACAGCTGGTCAGACGAGGAGTGAGGCACTGCTTTAAAGTTTGAATTAGGGAGGCCAGATTGTTTGAGCACAGGGTGGTGTTCAGCCAGGACAGAAAGGCTAATGCCCCTATGGTTACAAACAGCCCTGGGAACTTTAATGATCTCTTCTGAAGGATAGCATCTCCTACAGCACAGAGTCCCATGCCATGGGGAGGGAGCGCCCCCTATAGGTCTACAACAGAACCTGCAGCAGCAAGTCGCCCATCCCAGTGCTGATCAGCCCGGGGTGCGAGGGGTTGGCACTGTATTCCTGGCTGTGGCGCTGTCCAGGACAGTGTGAAGTCTGATCGCACATCTCTCCCTCAGCTGGTGGACATGTTGGACATGTCCGTGCCGGTGGTGGCGAAGCTGCGGCGCCTTCTGGACAGCCTGCCCAGGGAGACGCTGCCCGACGTCCTCGCCTCCATGATCCGCACCTCCAACAAGGAGAAGCTGCAGGTACTGCTCTCGGGGCGCAACAGCGCTGCCACGCTCCCAGGGAGGGGGCGAGGCAGACACTGGCTGGGGCTCTGAGCCCCTCTGGTGTGGTGACCCCAGTGTCTGGGGGCTCTG